CATCTTAATTTTTTTTTTCACAATTTCAACAGTTTTTTTACTAGTATTACTTTTCTAAATTTAAATTTCTAGTTGATATTTTCATATACTTTGTAGGATTTAGAAGTTGTTGGCGGAAGCATACTATGTCATGATGAGTGCAAGAAGAACTATATACTGATTCATGGTAAGAGGGTTCTCTCTTTCTTTAAAATAAATTGACGAATGTTGCTTACGAATTATGATATTGTGTGATACACTTGTTTTCTTAACTTAGTTTAAAGTAGTTATTTTAAATGTATAGTTGATTTTAATCACATATTTGCAATTAGAAATAAAATTAATAAAAATCAATAATAACACTAATACAACTAAAATTATGAAAGAAAGAACAATTTGGATCACTTGTTCTTCTTTCTCCTTTGAAATTGCTGCTATTGCCTTTGCTTGGAAACCTTTTCTATGAGTTTCAATAGCTGAGGATTCTGTGTGACCGATTCCTTTGTATAGTAGAAAATCAAGTTATGTAGAACCTTAATTTATTTTTCCATAAGGTTTTACACTCATTTTCCAAATATGCAACATGTTCAATTTAAAATCCTTTTTTGATGATGACAAACAAAGCAAGTATAACTATGCAAGTGTATCCATCTACTCACCCCTTTCACCATATATCTTAGTTGAGAAACGGGTTTTGACCTACTTAGTTCTTGAATAAATTGAAAGAAATATATATGTTGCTATTTGTGTGACATAATTCAAGTGTCTAACATTTTACCATTTTGGGATCCCAATATATTCATCCTATTGTACCCCAAATGTAACCATCAAATCATATAGTGATCGGATATATAAGTAAGCTTGATTAATCTTTCAGTTATTATAGAGATGAATATTGCATCTACCGATTCAATCAAATAAATCTATAAAAATGAAAATTATTTCTTGAATGATCATTCAGATCATAGTTTTGTACTTGCGAAACTTTTAATGTGTGGATCTTAAAGAAATATATTTAACAAAGGTATTTGCATTTTTGTGAAGCTTAACTCGTAGTGAACTACAATGTGGTCTCTAGTAATAAACAATTGTACTATCCAGAACTCTAAGTTATGATCGTAAATTAATTTATTTTAGCTTAGAATTTGTGTTATGTATAAATATATATGTGGTATTTTTTAATTAGTTTTAATTTTTGTAAATTTCTTTTCTGTTTTTTCCATCAAAATTTGCTCGATCAGTTTCACGCCTAAATGATCGTGTAAGAGTGTGTAACCGTAGTGGTTCACTTGCTGTCAAACAAGGATGGACTAAATTTTCACCCAAACATAAAAGCAACATACGTAAAATGAAGATGAAAGGACAAAAAAACTAGCACTTTATAATTTATCATAATATTTCAAGCATGTAACTGCACATTTCCATAATAAAGCAAAATACTACTACTCCTAATAAGCAATAACAAAGGAGGAAAACATCTCCTAATCATTCTTCAGATTAGGATATGGTTTCATCCTTTGTTATTGCTTATTAGAAGTAGTAGTATTTCGCTTTGAATATTATGGAAATGTGCAACTTACATGTTTGGAATATTTTGATAAATTATAAAGTGATAGCTTTTGTCACCCGTTGATCTTCATTTTTCATACGTTGCTTTTATGTTTTGGTGAAAATTCAGTCCATCCTTGTTTGATAATAAGTGAACCATTATGATTACATACTTTTACACGATAAATCAAGCAGGAAACTGATCAAACCACAAAGTGGGCAAAGGAGGAAAAATAGCAAGTAGTTAGCCGGAGGCAACTATTCTAGTAAAGCTGCTTCGAACAATTGAGATAAATAAATGAAGAAAAAAATTAAAATATTTGTTGCATCAGAGTCTGAAAAGGACACATACAGGCCAAAATTGCCAACTTTGCAACAAACATTGATGCAACTGTTGTTTTACCAACTTTGCAACAAACATTTGTTGCATTAATGCTTGTTGCAAAGTTTGTAATATTTGGCTTGCATTCAGGCTCTAATGCAACAAATGTTTAACTCTTTTTTCTTTACTGTATTTATATCAGTTGTTTGAAGCAGCTTAATCGGGATAGTTTCTTCCAGGTGATTAGTCCTAGCTCTTTTTATTACTTTGCCTAGTTGGCTCAGATTCATCCACCTCGGTGACTTACTTCTACCTTTCTGTCTTGTTGGTAATAAAAATAGGTTAGCTCATATTTGTATGAAGAAGACGACACAAAAATTTTACGAACCAAAATCAAGTTTAAATTTAAAAGGACTTCCTTTATTTTCAGTAAGTGAATAATAAATAAATAAATCCGCAACTCTTAACCAAGTAAATTTTTGGCAAGTGTCATATGTTCATGTACCAAACAATCAAGTTATCTTTAATTTCTTTTAATGATGGTCATTTTATGAAACCGTTTAGCAAAGTTTGATCCTCTTCCTTAAACTTCACTGAAATAACTCTTGAAAATACATAGAAATTATCATAATCCTACTAATATTGACTCAATTTATATTGTGTTTATATACGACTCTAATTTTTAAATATTATTTTCAACTTGAAAATAAACACTTTTTAAAACAAATTCAATTTTTCCTTTCAAATTTCACATATTTTATGTCCAAATGCCACTAGAAGAAGTTTGCACGTTTATTGGATATATGTTCCACATACACTATCGCAATTCTACTAATATTGACTCAATTTATATTATATTCATACACAACTCTAATTTTTGAATATCATTTTCAACTTGAAAATAAATCCTACTTTTTTCCTTTTCCAAATTTCACAATTTGTATGTCCAAATGCAACAAATAAAAGTTGTTCACGTGTATTGGGTGTGCCACATAGAGATCATCGAATCCTACTAATATTGACTCAATTCATATTGTGTTCATACGCAACTCTACTTTTCGGATATCATTTTAAACTTAAAAATAAATAGTTTTTAAAACAATTACTTTTTTTCCTTTCAAATTTCACATTTCCTATATCCAAACGCCACCAGAAAAAGTTTGCATGTTTATTAGGGTGTTCCACATAGAGAGTATCGTAATCCTACTAATATTAGTTCAATTTATATTATGTTCATACACAACTATATTTTTTTAATATCATTTTCAATTTGAAAACAAATACTATTTTTTTTTCTTTTTCAAATATCACAATTTTTATCTCCAAACATAACTAATAAATGTGCATGTGTATTGGACGTGGGCCACATAGAGATCTTATCGTAATCCTACGAATATTGATTCAATTTATATTATGTTAATACATAACTTTAATTTTCAAATATCATTATCAACTTAAAAACAAATACTATATTTTTCTCTTTCAAATTTTATATTTTTTTATGTCCAAACTCCACTAACAAAAGTTATGCACGTGTAGTAGATGTGCCACATAGAGATTATTGTAATAAGTTATTTTCAAATATCATTATCAACTTGAAAACAAATACTATATTTTTCTCTTTCAAATTTTATATTTTTTTATGTCCAAACTCCACTAACAAAAGTTATGCACGTGTAGTAGATGTGCCACATAGAGATTATTGTAATCATACTAATAGTGACTCAATTTATATTATGTTCATCCACAAATATAATTTTTGAATATTATTTTCAACTTGAAAATAAAATATATTTTTTTTCAATTTCGCAACTTTTATGTCCAAACTTCACTTATAAAAGTTGTACAGATGTATAGAGTGCGTCACATAGATAGATAGTATAATAATCCTATTAATATTGACTCAATTTATATTATGTTCATACACAATTCTAATTTTCGAATTCGTTTTTAACTTAAAAAATAAATACTTTTTCTTTCTTTCAAATTTCATTTCTTATGTCCAAATGCCGCTAAGAAAAGTTTGGACGTGTATTGGGTGTTCCACATAGAGAGTATCGTAATCCTGCTAATATTGACTCAATTTATACTATGTTTATACAGAACTGTAATTTTTGAATATCATTTTCAACTTGAAAACACAATTGGATAATTGATAGAAAATTTAATATTAAAATAATAATAATATTCTTTTAGATGGACAACCAGACCTGGATTTTAGTTTGATCCCCAGTTATGAATTGAGTTATAATAAATTGAGGTTGATTTTTTTAAAAAGTTAAATCGAAAGATATCATGTAATTAATCATATTTTGAATATTATTTTCAAGCATATCAGGTCAAAATATAAATCATATGTGATTTTTATTATTTATTAGAGAAAGGGTTTAATTTGGACCAATCAAATTAGGCAACATAATAAATACATATTTAATTATTTTACTTTAAGGGAGGTATTAAAAATAAGGGAAAATATGAGCCAAAGAATTAATATTGAGGGTACTTTTTATCCAAAACATTGATGTTAGGGTTATTGGCGACTAAAAGGTGGATGAAGGATAATTTTGTATCATATTCAAATAGTTGAGGAGCATTTTAGGCACTTCTCCGTTTATAGTATGCTCATACACAACTCTAATTTTTGAAAAAACATTTCAACTACAAAACAATATTTTTTTTCTTTTTTCAAATTTCACAATTTTATGTCCAAAAGTCATTGACAAAAATTGTGCTTGTGTATTACGTGTGCGACAGTTATTGTAATCTACAAATATTGACTGAATTTATATAATGTTCATACACAACTCTAATTTTCTAATATCATTTTAACTTGAAAACAAATACTATTATTTTCATTTTCAAATTTCACAGTTTTTATATGAAGATGTTGGTTATTCATGACATGTATGTGAAGCCAAGGGCGGATCTAGCGGGCGAGAATGTGTTCAACCAAACCCTCTTAGCAAGAAATTACACTGTATATGTAAGGTAATTTGTAATTATTATTTTTTTACATATAGATTTTGAATCCCTTAAACACAAGAATAAAGGTCGGCTTAGTGTTTTAGGGGTCAAAATTTACCCTGAGATTCAAGTTCAAATCTTCGACACTACATTTTTATTTTTAAACCTCTTCAGTGAAAATCCTGAATCCAGATAATCATAGGTGGCTCTTTATTTTGTCACTAATGGAGATCACAACAGATCAGACTTGTGCTATATGCAACATTGCTGATGAATGTCAGTATTGCAGATACAGTTTGGTGCAAAATATGCAACATCAACAGTCTACTCAATATATTTGTACGAGTCCACAATGACCACGTGTTTTAACTTCTCGGGACCTGAATAAATCGTTTACTCATTCATCAATGATATTAACAGCTCGCAAAACTCATCTACAATTCTAAGTGGTCCTTTATTTGCCTCATATTATAGAAAGTGACTGCAGCACAGCATGGGTATTTCTGTCTCCCATCACTCATCTGACTTTTTATCACAAGTATCATTTTTGATCAAGTATTCAACAAATTCATCAAGAAGACAAGGCCAAGCTCCTTCAGCATCATAGTTTGATAATGTCGCGTCCACGGTCTGCGTAACAAGTCATAGATACCAATATAATGTACTTCTTTTGAAATAAAAAACTTGAAATGGAGCAAGTGTGAGGTAAAAGGTTATAGAGGGCGTCTCTGGAAGCTAATATGCTAAAGTGATGAATCATAACTTACCTTTGCAAATTTCAGCAGCTGTAACCAAACATCACGTGAGATAGCGTTGTTATGCCGTTCCTGAACCAGGTGGTAGCAGAACGATACCACAAGAAGAAAGAAAGAACAGGGGTGAGTTATAGCATCCTAAATAACAGCGAAAACACTTGCAACACTATAGTTGTTACGCGGAAATAAGATCCAAGTAAATGCTGAATCATGTGTACATTAAGATAGACACAAATCAAAAGGGATGGAGAATCGTCAAGCATAAGATCACATCAAGTAAATTGAAACCAATAATCGTCCAGCATAACACAGCACAGTGTGATTTTCATTAAGCAGATAAACCGAATTTCAAACCTAACAAACTTGGTCAGCTGCCTGTACATAGATAACTTAAAAGACGGTTACCCAAAGATTTTCCATTGAATTACCTGGATAAACTCACACCATTGATCAATCAATGGCCACTGCAATTCTGCAAACACCAACTGCCACAATGCAAGTGCTGTTTCCAAGGCCAAAGTTTTCTGACCCTGAAAATTATATGGAAATATTCATGCACATGTTTAATAGAGTTCTATAAGCAAATTATCATTACCTAAAATATAACGTAATAAGATAGACATATACAACTGAAACTACATGCAACGCGTTTGTCACCCTAAAATTTTATCTAATATCTAGGCATAAGGGTTAAAAAATGTATTACTATCCAAGCTGTACTGTTGAGCTCTTCCTCGTTTCAAAAAGCAACCAACTGCAAACTAGGATGGTTTAAAGGTAATTATTTAATATCAGACCAAGAAAGCAGTTGCCCTAATATACACGTATCATTTAGTAATATATACAAATATCAGCCAATCAATCAAGCCAAACTATAGATGCAAACTAGGATGCTTCTGCAACACGAAAAATATAGAATAAATAGCAAGGAACTAATAACCTTGAACACAAATTTTCAATATCTTCAAAGTTTCTACTAGTCTTTTCTCTCCAAACTTCTTTAAAAATGTCCAAGGGGTTGATTCAATATTTTTCCCTTCAATTCCCAAGTGCAGTCAAATGTATAGGACTAGTACTGTTTTTTTTACAATGGTGATGTTTGAGCCAACTTGTGTGCACCTAGACTAATGTACCGAGTAGCTTATCCAGCGCACAAACACAAGTTGCCAAGGTAATCCTATCTAACAAAGTTGGAGGGAATGGGCTCACACCAAGTGTTATAACTGAACTCAAACATGGGATATCCAGGACCTCAACAATGATAAAGGGGGAAAAGGACAGTGCTTTAGGTGTTCTAATTGGAACTCGAACATGGGATCTCCAGGTTGTTACTCCAGTTCCTCAACCACTATGTCATTCCCGCGGGACAGGACTTAGTAGTTCATCTGATTTCCTTTTAAGTAATAGTTTGGGCACAATATAGGTTTCTAGGATTCTCTTTTTCTCAATTAGAACAGCCTAAAACATTGTTCCTTCCTTTTTATCTCCTTTACCGTTGTTCAACTTAAGAGCAAAATTTATTAACATGCAACACTAACCCTTTTAGACTACCTGCATATTTCATGTGCATGTATTCACCTCTTTGTAATCTCAAATCCACACAAAAAATGTACCAAAACATTGTAGCAGCATAGACTCCTCCAGAAAGCGATAACTGAAGAGTACTAAAATGAGCTTTAACAAAGGGACACTGCATTGTCTAAACCTTGGACACCTCCAACTTCTCCTGCACGAACACCACAAAGGCAGTCCTGGATATTCCATCCAGGGCTCCACTTTTTCCTCTTTTTTTTGATGACCGTGATGTCTGGACCAGCTTTCTCGCACCTCAACTAATTCCATAGGATACCTGCCCAGCAAGAGGTACCAAATAACTCTGTCTACCAAGGCTAGGATAGCAGGGAAGATTCACCTAGTGTTTATTGTCTCTGCCAGGTCCAGGGCTTCACTCTCTAACTTCAGATAACGTAGACAAAGACAACTGGGCTCCAGTTGTCTAATGAATTTCACCCCTTTTTTGAGGTCTTTTTGTGAGTTCTAGACTCTAGAGGTTACTTCCCAAGTAAGAAACCATTCATACAGTATCTTGGTTTTCTCACTTTAAGATTAAACCCAAAATCAAACATTATTCCCTTGCTGTGTGTGGTGCTATTTTGTAGTGAGCTGCAGACAGTTTTTTGGTACTGTCGACACAATAGAAACCTTGTCCTATGAGGGTCTTTTCTTTTAAACACAGGTTCTTATAACACGGGATAGCTTTGCAAAGGGAATTCCATTTTGGAATGAGCAGCAACCAACTGACTTGTTGCTAACTCTTATTCTCAACCTTAAAACTATAGAAAGAAAAAGAGTACTGAAGGATCAGTAATTAAGTACCCACCTTCTCCTTTGCCCAATCAAAAGTAAAGTTGTAAATTTCACTGAAAGTATCTGGAAAAAGATCCAAAGAAAGTCAAGGTAAGGAATCTTTTCCTGTAGTAAGACAAAATTAACAGTTAAAGAAAGATATGGTATCCATGTTCAAATTTCAAATAAGAAAATATCAAAGAACAATGGAACTTCTTTGACCAACAATGAGGAATTCCACGACAGGACAAACCTTCATCTTTCAGCTGAGATCGCAAAAATGGGATTTTATTCTTGAATTTCTCCATTGAATCTATTCTGTCATTCAGGATACAGGTTAATCATTTCGACATTAAACACTAAAATATTATAGTTGCCACAGTGAAAGAAATTCAACTATAGAGGGGAAAATGCCTTAATCTAGGCTTACTCAAGAGACTGTACTCCACCAATAAACTCCTGCTTGGAGAATTCACAAATGGACGCAGCTTTCAATTTCCATGAAAGTACCAACTGTAATTGAATGCAATTGTAAGTGAATCAAAGATCACACAACCCCTATATGCTTTTAAGAAGTCCTATATTACAAGCTTTTATAATAATCTAGGCTTAGGCCAAAGAGTATCTGTTGTTCAGCTGAGAACTTTTGAGCTATCAAGTATACGGTAAACAAGAATTAAAAATATTCTTTCAAGTGAAATCATTTTTTTGCAAGCTGCAAAAGAACCAACCAGGTTGGTATGGCTTAATTTTAATTCGATAACGGTGTTATTTAGGTTGGCCTACGTGCACCTCGACTATTCCACTGGATACTTGCTACCTCCCACCAACATGGACACCAGGTAACTCTGCCCACCAAGTCTTAGATAGATGGGGAGAAATCACCTAGTGTTTTTTAATCTATTTGGGATTTGAAACCCCGTCTCCAAGGCTTGCTCCACTTCATTGGTATGGCTTAAATTTTACCGAAACATAAGGTCATTTTTTTGTAGTTACTCAGAGCTCAGGAAAGGTTATCCAAATTGAAAGTAAGAGTTCAATGGAGGTTTTTCTATAATTAACTTTCCCAAGACAAATACAGCCAATTAAATCCTTTTTGCATCACTCCTAGTCCTTCCCCCACCTTCAAAAAATGTCTTTGAAAGAGGTAACAACAACAATAACATGCCCCATGAAATCCCACTAAGTGGAGTCTGGGGAGGGTAAAAGTTTCTGAAAGACAACTAGAAAAGTAAACGAGAGGCTAATTGCACATACCATAACTATATCCTGAGGATCAACCTGACAAGAAAACAAAAAGTTTTACATTACTCAGGCATCATCACCAAGATATTATCAGGAATCTAAGAAGAAGACAAAACAAAATATACAACAGTATGTGTACTACTGGAAGTTTTAAATCAAGATTGAAAAGACAAACTACAAAACACTGTGTATGATACACAACACCTAACAACCTTCACTTGAAATTCTTATCATGGAAATAGTAATGATTGACTCATCAGATCAGCCAATTGAGGTAAAGCACCTGAAGATCATTGCAGAGATTGTTAATACCATCAGCCATAATCATGTCAACATTCGGGTCTGCAAAATGGAAAAAAAAAATTCAGCCAGACACTTTGGTTTATTGACAGAATATATATAGACTATTATATATAGAAAAAGGGTGAAGGAACATCTGATGGAGAGTTCACTGTTTCAATGACTTCTACGGGCAAATTGTTATGAGGGAAAAAGGATTCTACTTGGCATCTCACTATTTTACTAATGATAGGAGCATTTTCTTTGAGAAAGTACTAAAGGTAGGACCACTATACAGGCTAACCAGGTGAAGGGAAAAAGATAACCCTACTACAATAATAAAATTTAAACCAGTTCAGAGTCAGCTGACAACAACATACCCAGTATAGTCCCACAAAGTGGGATTTGGGAGGGTAGAGTGTACACAAACCTTACCTTTAACAAATTTTGGTAAAAGTTTATAAAGCTCTAAGACATTGGATCACTTATTTGTAAGAAACGTGATAAAAATTAGTGAATATTTCAAACTTATGTCTTCAAAAGAATAGATACACTAACCAAAATTAAGTTTCAGCAAATTTTCATTGACCACCTTTTTTTTATGAAAGAAATCTCATTAAGGCATCAAGAAGATGAAAGTAGTAGATAATTAGAGTGAATAAAGACGGGGTCAACCTAGAAACAAAAGAAAGTAGGCTAAAGCTAAGTAGCTGATGAAGTCCGAAATGTTGATAGGGCAATTTACAGGTGCTAGGTTGATAGCATCCATGTCGGCTTAATTGCACTAAAGTTGACGGGCTTCAATGAGAAATCAAGAAGATGTTTATTGTGGAAGAAAAGCCCAAGAATGACCCAAGAATTACAACAAGAATTGGACTAAGTGCTACATATACTTCATGTCATGGTCCAAGTTCGAGTCCAAGAGCCGAAAGATTGGGCCACATGAAGGCCCAAGAAGAGGGCCCACATGGAGCCCAATAGGAGCATAAAAGTTTCCTATTTTAAAAAGCTTCCTAGTTCAAAAAATTTCCTAGTTTAAAGTTTACTAGTTTAAAATGTCCTAGTTATTATTTCCATAAAAGTAGGATTTAAATCCCATTCTATTTGGGTGTAATGACCCTCATGGTCATTTCTGTGTCTTGCCTTCTTTTGTGTCTGGAGGTTTTCGATATCTTTTCGAGCCCTTTTGTGGGTTTTGACTTAAAATGGCTTTTGGAAGTGGGATCCACTTTTTATCGAAATGACCTCTGATGGAAATTTCAACTGCACCGTTGAGTCTGGAATATCGAATTTGGTATGGTTGCATATCTCGTTTGCGTGCACGGGGTTCCGAACGAGTTCGGAGCACCCCGTCGGAGTTTTTAATTTTGGGAAAAAATTGCAGATTTTCTGCAATAAATGCAGAAAAACCAGCCAACTTTCCCAAACTTCAAACCCTCATAACTCTCTCATCTCTCAACCGATTTGGGCGATTCAAAAGGCAAAGTTGTGAGATTTTTAGAGGACAACGTGTTGGTGAGCTCGGATAGTGATTTGGAGTCCCCGTTTGAGGTAATTTTCGAAAAATACCTGATGCCAGACCTCTTTTTGTGACTTGATTTTGGAAATTTTGAGACATGTTTTCTTAGCCATTTTAGATCCGATTTTGGTGATTTTTGAGGCTATCTTGAGTGGTTTTTCGAGGAGAACATTGTGGTGTTGTTAGATTTTACTGTAGATCGCTCGTTTTTGGTAAATACACTGCTGTCCCATTTCGATTTTTGAGAAAATTTGTGTTTTAGTTGTATGTTGGTAGTGTGTTGTTCCCGAGCCTTGAATTGTGTTTCATTTTGGGATATGAGCTGGGGGAAACTGGTTAGGACCTACTTTTGGG